TGAAATTATTTTAAATAATGACATACTTTATTAAAAAGCCAAAGTTTCATTTTTATAATAGAAAAAGGAAAAAGTAGTTCAAAAAATACATACCGTTCAAACTTTGTGATTATTAGAATTGTGCTCGACGTTCTCTCAAGTCACGAAAACTATCAATGATTGACTCGGTAGTAATGGATCTTGCAATTTCTCTTTAAACAAAGTTAGTCAAAAGATTTACAAGAAAGTCATCTTCCATTTTACTTCAAAGTTTGGATTTAACGATAGCTATAGTCGAAAATGCAAGCTCTGTGGTCGCCGTAAACACAGGAAGAGTAAGAATCAACGATCTTATTAAAAAATAGTATAAGCCTATATATTACTATATGATTCATAAATAAAAAAATGATATAAACTTATATACGATCCATCTGTTCTTGACAAATGATACATCTCTTCAACAATTTTTTTATCAAATTGTCCAAACTAGAGAGAATGGATTAAGACATTTAAGAATGATGAATAAATACACATATTGAGTGCTAGTTTTAAATCCTAAATCCCTAAAAAAGATAAATAAATTAAATTATGAACATGAGCATAAATTAAAGTACTCACAAATATTAAAAAAAATGATCAAAATACTTAAGGAATTGTTGTTGGACTTGTTGCTGCGATTTTTTTTTTAGCTTGTTGTGCCCTTTTTTCATTAATAAATAAATAATATAGTATAATATAAAAGGTGGAGTTGGGCTTTATGGAGCTTTTTAAATATATCTCTAATGGACTTGACATGTCTTAGCACACTTGATCAAATAAATAAATCAATAGTTGGTTAGGGGGGATAATAATAAATAAATATACTTAATATAATATAATAGATATATACTTAGGTGAAAAAACACAAAAGTTTGGGGGGATCATGGCCCCCCCTAAACTATATTTCCGTCCGCCCCTGCTTATTGATTCCTCTAAAAGAAACTGGATTAGAGAACTAGCGCTGAGACTCTTTTCAAAGGCAGTAAGTGAAGTAATCCTTATCATTAAAGGCCTGGACCCAACCAAAGAAGACAAAGTAATATGGGACTCTAGAAGCAAATATCAACTCTCTGTTGCCTATGCAAAGTTAGTAGAAGAAAAATAGGACCTCTTTGATGTAGCTGAAAAGAGCAAAGAGCAGATAGAAGCAAAACAGATGAGGAAGGAAAGTTGGAGCCTTAAAATTAAAGGGAAAATTAAATATTTTCTGTGGAGGTGTGCTGGAAACCGCATTCAAGTACTTAACAATCTCTGCAAGAAGGGTTACGTGTTGGTCCTATTTGTAAGGTGTGTGGAGAATAAGTTGAAACTCAAGAACATCTTTTTTTTATAACTATCCAAGATCCAAACTCATTTGGAAATTGTCCCTTCTCTGTGGGGATGGTAAGGAATTAGATCCAGGTAGCTTCAAAGCTGGTGGTCAAGGCTTTGCAACATCAATAAATCTGCCATCTCAAAGGATAGATTTCAACTAACAGCCTGCATCTTATGGTGGATATGAAAATCAAGGAATCTGATTGTAGTTCAAAATGTTTGGAGGAATGAGCTATCCGTGGCTACCTCGGCTTGTAGTGATTGGGAAGAGTTTTCTAGGCTTGTCTGTTAGCTGCTTGTTGTTTCTTTCATCTACTTTGTTTCCTGGTCTCTTAGTTAGCTTGCTAGGTGCTTTTTCTTCTTGGCCGGTTCTGTATAGTCTTTCCTAGGTGTTTCTTTTATGCTTTATAGTTATTTGTCTGGCTAGGATATCTTGATCAGTGGTCAGTGCTTTGTTTAGTCTCTTGGCTGTCTTTTATTATTTCTAGGGATTGATCGTCAAACACCAATCTCAATAGCATTTGTCTGTGTCGGTGACTAGAATCAATCCCCTTTACTAGCTTCTTTTGTGTAGGGCGCTCAAGTATACTGCTGCTTTGATTCTATCGTTGTGATAGTTGTAGTTGACGACTGCTTAGTCACCGCTTCGTTTGTAATTGTTTATTTTTTAGCAATAATATCTATCGTTTTGAAAAAAAACAAAAAAAACAAAAATAAAAAGACTTAAAGAAATACAACACAAAATAAAATTTAATCCTCTTTATTACCTTTATCACCTTCATCGTCGTCGTAGCCTTTGTCTAGCCCTGAGTCCGGCACCCACCCCGCTGTCCTCCGTCTCCAGCCGAGATAATATCGACAGCTCACTAGTAAAATCCCTCCACTCATCATGTCCGCCACCGCGGGCAACATCTGCATCACCTGCTACTCTTGCTATAACTCCGGCCCCAATGCCAAATCCCTCTTTCCCCCTAACACACGCCGTATCTATAAATTTTCATTACCCCTTTCATTCGCGTCAATAAATTCTTCCCCTTATCGCGCAATTGTAGCCAAAGCGCTGTCGGGTGGTGATAAGAACAAAAATTCATCCAATCACAAGGAGCAACTTGTGGAGGAGGAAGCAGAAGTAGAGGAAGACTTGCCATGGATACAGGAGAAAGCTCTGGATTTGGTCGAGTTCACAGGCTCCGTCACGCAGGCAATCCCAGGTCCCCGAGTGGGCCAGAGCAAGTTGCCCTGGGTTCTTGCTGTCCCCTTGGCTTATCTAGGCATCACATTCGTCATGGCATTTGTTAAGACCGTAAGAAAGTTTAGTTCTCCCAGGGAAAAACGCCGCAAACTGGTTAGTTTTATTACTTTTTTTTTTTTTTNTTTTTAGGTTACACCTAGTCTTGCTGCTTTGCAATTTCAAGTGTGATTGCTTATCTAGGTAATGCAGAAGAAATGCAGTGTTACCAGTATATCTATTCCGTAACAATTATGATGCCTCCATGATGGTAAATGGGAATGAGGACTGAGATGTGTGAAATGGGAAATGCATATATAATCCTAATCGGAAGCTCTGTTCACTTTCAAGCATCAGTTTCGTTTCAAGTAGAATATCCTTAAGGTTATCAAAAATTTATATTATGCAAAAGCAGTGTTAACAAATGCGGATGGCAGAAAATGGTGGCAGGCTGAAGTCCCGCTATGGTGGGCTGGTGCAGCCATAAACCGCCATCCTTAAAATGGCGGTTAGGCCGAAATCCGCCATGCTGTACCACAATGGTGGAAATTTGAGAACACTGTGATAGTAACTGCTGTCAAAATCAAACTCAATGTTTTTTTCTCCATATGGTTTCTATCGGAAGGTGGGTGCAATGCCTGGCACTAATGCATATGTTGATGAAGAAAACTAGAGTAACACCAAACATTGTCACTCCTGCCATCTTGTCTTCTTAATTGGTTGATAAAGGCAAATGTGAAGTGTGAAAGCTACTTGAACAATCCAAGTAATCATTGAAGCATAAAGTGGATATAATATTATCTTGACTACTTTAATTTGTCACAGAAAAAATAGTAAGATACAACACTTTGGGTGAAACACTCATCTCCCTTTCTCCCCCAGCCTGTACATTCCTCACCTCTCCTTGTATGAGCCAATAGAACAAGTTTAATCCAAATAAATATGTATTTCCCTTGTCTTGTTTTTCAAATCGATTTGATTGGTCTCATGTTTCTTGTTTTAGTCAGTGAAATTTTGATTTTTTTTTTTTCTCTTTTAGATATTCTATAACTTTGCTCATACATATCCAGTCGTGTGATGGGAATTCATGGTCCTGATAAAATGTGGATTTCCTCCTATGTTCTTCTATTCAACATGGATTGGCATGATGTTTTACTTCCATATAGTTATGTATGGATGCTATTCGATGCCTCTTTGGAATGTGTATCTGGTTCCATTAACCACTTGTAGCATTTATGTGCTGAGTTCCCCTTATGAGTATTTTGGGCATTGAAACATGTTTTGTATATCAGATTAAATAAATATTTGTTATTTCCTTATCTCCTCATCATATTATTTTGGTTTTACCAAACCTTGAACTCTGTAAAATTTAAATAAATATTTGTTATTTCCTTATCTCCTACATCATATTATTTTGGTTTTACCAAACCTTGAACTCTATAAAATTTTTATATTAGATGACCTTTGTGTGTTGTTTGTGTGTTATTCAGGTCAATAAAAATGCCATGCTCTGCAAATCTGTAGATGAGCTCTTTGAGAAGGGAATGGATGAAGTAGACCAATCAACTTTAAAGGGACTGGTGCAGAAGGTAAGTTGCCCTTATTTTGTTGACATGACCATAGATCTTAATATTTTACAATTTCTACTGGCTTCCAAATAGGCAATTCATATGTTGGCTGGGTAGAATCAATAGGGTCTTGCCACTGAGTTGTGTCCGAAGACTCTATTAGTGAACTGCTCGATTTAACAATCAATATCTGTTGTTTTGTTTTTATCGAGTTTCTCTATCGTTTCGGGGAAAAAAAAAAATTGGGAAACACTCCTGAGGGAAAAATGGTTTTCCTGTATAATGCTTACATTTCTGAATAGGTCAATAAAGCATACTTTATCAATTGATAGTTCNTATTACTATATAAATTTATGTTAATGTTAAATGCACCATCTATTTTGTTTTATTTAAGCACATTATGTGCTTTATTGTTGTATGAGTATCTGTATCTTGCACTGAGCTAGAAGTTCAATATCAGTTACGTGGATCGCATCAAATATGGAAAATTTGTCTGGAATTTTTTGCACACATGCATACATATATGAATGGGAATAATCAATATCTGGTCACTGAGGAATTACTTATTTTTGTCAAATTCTTGTAATGCAACCTCAAAAGTTCTACATGTATTAGACTGATATATTTTATCTGCCAGTAAAAGACAGAGAAAGGATTATTTACGTATAACGTACACAGCATTGCGTTCCTAACCCCTGAATATGTAAATTTTGGCTTGAAAATGGCAATGGCCTTCATTCTTTAGAAGGAGGTATCCCTGTATCTTTTTGTTAGAGGGTCCAACAAGGAAGTGTTATGGTTTTGCTTAGGATTATTATAGTCATCACTACTGTAGTATTTAGCATGAGGTATATATAAATCGGAGTCTTGAAATTTCCCCTTGTGATACTTGCTATTGGCTATATTAAATATGATTCCTCATTTTTGTTTAGATTGCAAAAGGCTGCCTTGCTTAAGTTCATGGAAAAATCATAATTCTTTTAAACTATTGATTTGGACACATTGTTGTATTTTCAGACAGGCTTTGACATGGAGGAAATTTTACGAAAATATATTCGTTATGCATTAAACGAGAAGCCGTTTAATCCAGATTTGGTATCTAATTTGATCCAGCTCAGAAAAAAAACAATGTTAGATGACTCCCAGGTAGCTGGAATCCTGAATGAGATCTCAAGAAGGATTGTGAAGGACAAAGGTACCTGAAAACTGCATCAGTTTGTTGCAATTTTCGGTTGAAGCCGTCCTCTTTGTCTGACTTGAAATGATTACTGATTCTGAAAATAATATACTCGCAGTGTTTGCTCTGCAATTCAATATGATAAATAGTAGAAATGCAAACCAAGTAATATGAATTTATAAACTATCAAATCAACTTTGAATGAGTAGGCATCCTTACCACTTTTATGTACTCTACTTGGATCCAGGGAGGTTGTGAAGGAAGATTTATTCTATGCTTTGGGTTAATAAAATGATTGAAAGATAAGATTATCCAAGTATTTGAAAGGAACCAAGAGGACAAGCACATACATGTTTACAGCCATATTTTTAACTTGGATCATGCATCCATTTTTCAGGTCCAGTGGTCATGGATATGTCAGGATATTCTGAAAAAGGTTTCAAAAGAAAACTTGCTGTGCAAACTCTTTTTGGAAAGGTGTATTATCTTTCTGAGGTGAGCTTCCGCTTTGCTTGTGATAGAATGTGGAAAACAAATTTTTTCCTCTTATTTTCAATGCTGTGATTTTGAGACATTGTTAATGAAAGTTGAACGTTATGTCTGATAAAGTTAGCAATATTAAATCCAGTGTTTAGCAGACTGTTCAGTACCCTGAAAATGATCGGCATTTGTGCGTTTGTAATGGATTTCTTAATTGATGTAAAGTAATTGGTGTGATCTTGTTGACTTTCATGAAGATACCAGTTCTCGTTAGGCCTAAAATTATGTACATATCCTGAGACTTTATTTCCTGGATTTAAGAGTTGTCACGAAAATGAATGGGTTTTCTATTTATCTTTTCACAGAGACAAGTCATGAAGTGCTATCCTGTTAAAGTAATCATTGCTTTTGTATTGACCTAGGCTTCATTAGATATGAATTTGATCCTTACTGGTACCAAGTTCGAAAACCAACATTTTATTGAGTTTCCAAGTTTTCGAGTAAAATGCTGTGGGTTCCATTATCTGATCTCTTTCTTTTGTCAAATTGGGCTTTAAAAGAATCATTACACCTGTGTTGCCTAGTTTCAGCGTAGAATATTATGTTATTCTCATAAACTGTGGCATTTCTAAGAGATGTGCTGATTAGTAAGTACAATAAACCATGCAACTCTTTTTTGTTTGTGATGGAGCAGCTGCCTGAGTTCTGTTCAAAAGACAGCTCTCTAACTGTCAAAGAGATATTTGGGGTAGCAGAGTAAGTGCACTATTTTGAACTTCTCGATATCTCGTTCAGTCATTGTACTCTGTCACAACTGACAAAGTTACGCTTTTCCGTGAATTTACACCTTTGCCAGTGAAGACGCCGAGAAGCTTAGGGTCCACACTGTTTCAGAAGCCGGGGATTTGGATGCACTAGAAAAAATGGTTGATGGTTCAGATTCAGAGGAATCAAATGATGAATCATCAAATGTCTCTTGATGTGCCAACATTTTCTAACATGAAAGTTTTGTTCCATATATTTTTTTTTTCTGCTTCCATCTGTTTGAATTATTGCCCTTGCTGGTGGATCACAAGGTGTGTACTGAGCTCAATGTGATGTTTAATAGTTAATACTTTTCAAATCAACTAGAGAATGATTGACATGTCCCGGTTTTAGGCCTTCAACTTGTTGGAAAACTTATTTTAAATTTTGAATCCAAGAGTTCATTTTGTAATTTCTTATAATAGTTAAGGAAAAACATTAAACATCATGGAATAAGAACATATATGCTTGTTTGTGTTTTGCCATATAAAATATTTTTATTTTCACATAGTTCCGAACTTAGTATCTCCTTGCAGTTTATTGTATGATGCTGCCTCCCATGGGTTTTTTTATAGAGAATACTAAGCCTCGAACTTTTCAAGTTTTTCTTCATGCTTGCTCCAAAATGACTTGACCCCATAGGAAATTTTCTTTGTATTTAGGTGATAGGAGATTGTCCGACCAATAATAGTCTGACCTTATAAAATCCCAATAGAACAACTCGGTCCAAGTGGAATTAGTAAAAGTCCAAAATTCAAGCATAAAGAATATTTTTAATAATAATTTGGATGACAAGAGAGTGAGTTGGTGTCAAATAGTATACAGTAGGAAAATAGGTATATGTTCTACATACATTACATGTCTTATAGATACTTTCGAAACACATGATTCTAGTGTACTTCTTAATCGGAGTGCCAATGATAGGAGCTCTTCAACTTCATGTAGGTTTTACAATATGGTGAAATTGAGCTGTATCCAGTGATTGTTTGTAGCATGTGCGAGAAAATTCTTAGGACACCAAATGATCACTTTCTGATCCTCGAGACTATAAAATAATCCACATTTCGTTTCCTTGAGATAGCTAACAAACACTCGTGCATCCAAATGTTTTTCCAACTTGCCAGCCTCCTGCACCAGAACGTGTACAGGGCTACCCCACACTCAAATATGTGAAAACTCGGGCTTATGCCCTTTCCACAACTCGTAAGGAGTAGTCTCTACTGACTTCGACAGAACCAAGTTAAGAATACACGAAGTTGTTTCCAGCTCCATGCCCCAAAACGAATCTGCTAACATTAAATAACTCATCATTGACTTAACAATCTCCATAAGATTCCTATTTTTCGCTCTACAACCCCGTTCTGCTAGGGTGTGCTGGGTTAAGTCAATTGGGATTCAATCCCAGCCTATGACAAGTATGTCTTGAACTCTCCAAAGAGGTATTTGTCACCTCGATCAGATCGAAGCAACTTGATACTCTTACCATGAAGCTTCTTCGCAACTACCCGATACTCCTTGAATTTCTCGAAGCATTCGGACTTGCGGTGCAACAGGTAAATGTACCCCAATCTCGAGTAATCATCAATGAATGTGACAAAGTAGTCGTAACCACCTCTAACTTGGATCGACATAGGACCACACAAATCAGAATGAATCAATCCTAGCACTTCTTAGCTCCTATCCCTTTTGCCGTAAACGGCCTCTTGGCGATCTTACCTTCCAGGCATGATTTGCAAGTTGGATAATGATCTTCTAAAGGACCGAGATGTCCGATAGATACCAACTTTTGAATCCTCCTAATGTTGATGTGCCCAAGTCTAAGGTGCCAAAGATATGCTTTATTCATCTGCGAAGACTCTTTTCTCTTATTAGACTTAGTCAAGACATTACTCAATTCAGTTTGTTGCACTGTGAGACAGTTTAGTTTAAGAACATACAAATTGCCAACTAATGAACCAGAACATATGAAACGGTTTCCTAAACGAATAACAACCATGTCATCAAACAAAAAGAAAACCCATTCATAGAAAGTCTAGAAACTGAAACAAGGTTCTTTCTAAAACTTAGAACATAAAGGCAATGTCTCAAAACCAAACTATTACTAGCAAAGATAAAGTAACGTCTCCCACTGCAACAGCCGCCACTTTCGTGGCATTGCGCATGTAAACGGTGATCTCTCTCTCTTTAAGTCGTCTGGTTTCCTGGAACCCCTATAAAGAATTGCAGACATAGTTAGTGGCTCCAGTATCTACACACCAGGTACTAGTAGATACAACCGCTAAACATGTTTCTACGAAATTAATAAAAGAGTTGCCTTTCTTGAAGAGAGGGCAGTCGACCTTCCAGTGTCCTGACTTGTTGCACTTGTGGCATCTTCATTTCGATTTCTTTGCCACAGCCTAATGGTCCGGTCACGGGGCAAAGCAACATGTGCCTTCGCCTTTCATGCATACTTCTTTCTCTTCTTGCCTTTGTGGAGCCTGGAAGGTGTTTGTCCCATTTTTGTTTCGTTTTTCGCTATTATGGTCTTTCCTTTGGTTTTTGGTCCGTTTCGTGTCTTGTCGTGTGTTTTTCTTTATTTTGTTTGATTTAGGAGTTCCTTTTTGTTTTTCGCGTTTTTCTTGTCGGTTGTGGTGTGCAGGTTAGGTGGCCTGGTCGGTTATAAATTTCAAGAAGAAATGGTCGAGTGAAATCAATTATCTAGAAGGATGAGTAGGAGTCGAACGGGAAAAGACAGAATTCAATTTCAAGCCTGGACGCGTGTGTACAAACTCAAGAACCACAAACTGCCGAGTTTCCTTCACCGCGGCCCGCGACACTGTCCCACGGCCGCGGGAGTGCCAAAAATCCCACTACTGTAGCATTTCTTCACCGCGGCCGCGGATAGCTGCTGCGCCAGAAGTCTCGCGGCCTCAAGAATTGTCGCGGCTGCGGAGCTTTTCTTCGCCGCGGAGGTTGCGATTTGCAGATTTTTAGGAACAATTTTTTTAATTCAATTTTGGAGGATTTTTGAATTCTCTTGGGGAAGAAGACGTATGCTAGGGCTAAAAACATTATTCCAGACTTGTTTTCATCTTCTTTTCATCTCTAAACACTTTTCTTCTTCACTTTTCACTTGGATTTTCTTGGTTTTGCTGGATTAGACTTTTGGAGATTGTGATACTCCAAAACGAACGTGATTCGACTTGTATCTTGATTTCAATTCTCGACTTGAATTATTCGTAAGTTTCTTTCATTTGATTATGGATGTGAATTATGGTTTTGAATCTTTTGTTGTGATTGATATCAATATGAGTGGCTAAATCATTTGGTTAGGGATATGAGATGTTTGTTGTGGTTCGATTGAGTTTAATGTGCTTGTTTGACGTTCAATCTATTCGAGTTGTGCTCAATCTAGGGTTAGATGCTTGATCAACATCTTAATCTAATTAATCGATTTGTTGAACTGGAAGGGGAGAAATTGATCGATCTTGGCTCGTTTGAAATAAACATGTTCGTTAATGTATTGCCTATGTGTTAAGTGTGTAAATTATTGATTTGTTCATGTCTGTTCTCTTGTTACGAGATGCTATTGAGAATGAACCTCTAAGCAAGTAGGTTATTTGATTCCTTAACCGAGCGACTGTGTGCTCATTGATTGCTTGATAACCATAAAAGAATATCTCCGATTCCCTAACTCTCCATCCATTATCTGAATTTCGTGAATTTGAGACGTGCTCTAGCTTTATTTTTAGAATTCGTAGTTGATAATTGAAACCATATCAATTGAATTAGAGTGGGTTATGATTTAATTTCTCTTTTTGTGATTGAATATACGTACGAAATAATCCGGCTAACCTTCCTTGTGATACGACCCGGGGAACGAATCTTTCGATTCTACTCCAGTAAAAATAACTAAAACAGAAAGTCCAGCCTGCTCGGCAACTAACACCTGAGTATCCTGAGTGAACAAGGCTTTTGCCGACTAAAGCTCAGCCAACAGTTCCGGGAGAGTCGTATGCATCTTGTGCATATTGTAGTTCTATCGAAACTGATCAAAGCTCTTCTGCAGGGACTTGAGCATAATATCAACCTGGGTTTCCCCGTGTATAAAACCCTCCCATAGCCTCAAGCTCATTGAGCTGTGCCATAACCCTTAGGGCGTGCTCCCTCACGGGGGTGCCCTCGGCCATGCGCGTGTTCATCAGAGCACTCAAGGCTTCCTTCCTAGCAGCCCTAGACTGATGCCCAAACAAATTTTTGAGGTTGAGAAGCATGTCTGCCGCGGTGCCCATAGACTAATGCTGATATTGAAGAACATTCGACATAGATGCCAGAATGTAACACTTCGCCATCTCATCAGCCTTATTCCACCGGACATACTCCTCTTTCTCTTGTTCAGGAGCATCAGCCGCGGGCTCTGCTGGGCAAGCCTCATTGATCACATACTTATACCCCTCAGCAGTCAACACAATATCTAAGTTCCTCTTCCAATTAATATAGTTAGGACCAGTAAGTTGATTTTCTTTCAAAATGTCAGATAAGGGATTGAACGACATGATGAATATAGCCTGAGAATCATGAAAATAATTTTACAGATTAAACATTTTGAATTTAACTGTTAGCATTAATATCCTCAAAACAATATTAACTTAAATTCACCGACATCTCTACACATCGTGAGTAAGCATGCTACGTGGGTCGCCTTCCATACTCAACATTCGTAAGAGAAGAGTTTTTTAAGAACCCATTAATTTCCATAAATCAAAACCAAATTCATGACGAACGAAATTAATAGTCGGTCTCCGTTTGGCCATGCAATAAAATTCAGGGACCCCGTGGGGAATTTATAAATTAAATCGCATTCTAAGTGAATCCCATTTTTTGATCCTGAGGTCATCAAAATCGATTATACGTCCCCCGTGGTGAGGCCGGTACGCTCTCACAAGATTTTCCCTAAAATTTAGAATTTGTTCTGGTAATTTCTTACAATTAATTTTAATGATGTCATCCGTGGGGAAGCCCATACTTCAATTAATTGATTTACCAAAAAATTAGAAATGGAGGCCTTAGGAATTTTAACAATTAACTTTAATTTTAAAATCCCTTCTCAAACTTAGTATTATTTAAATGAGGATTTTTAAATATTTATGCAATTCCAAATTAATCCCATGCATAAAGCAATAATTAATTTCCATGAATAAATAAATAAATAACTAATTGGCATAATAAATTTAAATAAATAAATCTACTATTATGGCCATTAATTATTGAGTCTCCTTAAACAAGCAAACCTTATCAGTTTTTTTCCTTATTCAACTGGAACTTCCACTGCAGTAGAATCTTGATAGATATTGTACTGCTTGTCCAACAAGAAAACCACCTCCTCCAGCCGTCGCATGTCTGGTGGTCGAAAAAATAATGTTTTTTTTCTACCGAGCGTATGCCCGACCACAACCGCCGCCGCCTAGCCTGCCTGCGCACGGCTCCCGGCAGCGAGCTGC